AGTGGTTGTGTTTCGCTGACAGTCGGGAACCGCGATTGTGAGCCAAACACGTCCACTTTTTGTGGATTTCAAGCCCTTTTTTGTGCGTTTAAACGTGTTTTTGAAAATGTTTGTCTGCTTGGGCCATATCCACCACACTACACACCCACTCCGAGATATTCACCAGTCAACAGTCAAAAGTAGTTCATGTGGGGACTCAAAAGCCTTCCTCCCGACTTACTCTATATATTTAATTTTTTTGTTTGGAAGAGCATGTCAGAATGTCGGGTATGATAGAGCCGTTCTTTTATATTCATACTTTTTATATGAACAAAAAGAATAACAAGCTGAAGATCTAAAAAGCTTTGGCGCCAATTTATATTAATGCCTGTATATATCTTTAAAAAAAGTTCAATTAACAAAGAGATTCTGTCATATCGTGCGACTGAAATTCTCTTTCAAACAATAAGCCTAAAATATACAGAATCAGTGTGGATGAAATTTTGATGTTCCACAATCATAAAAGTCTAAACTGAGAAAAAACGAAAAACATTTTGGATTTTTTTGTAAAAACAGCTTATTTTTCGAATAGAGGGTGACGAAAGTCTTCGAAAATTTTTGGAAGAAAACGAGGTGCCAAGTATAAATTTTTGTCGTTTATGCTAGATCTGAAGACAGGCTATATCCCAATGTATCTTTCTGCATTCCAAAACTCTGACGAACATTGACTTTTTTTTTGAGGGAAAGGCCTCAAGTTCAACTAGTTGCATTAGGAAATTCTGATTGTTTTGAATTCTGTATTACAGAAAAAATATTTTATGGTCCGGTTCATTTAACACAGTATCCATACTAACGCTTTGATTGACCTGAGCAACACCATGCTTTGTCGGTACCCAGGTGAAGAAAAACACTGCTGAAATCTGATTCACTTGGAACTTTTCGTCTGAACTCATCATAAATAGGCAAGGGCTTTTTTCACTGGTGTTAGAATCACAAATAGTGTTCTCCGCGCCGATTTGAAGACTTTGATAAGTATTCTTTCATTTGCTTCGAACAACGTCATGTTTAGTCCTTACTAGAGTGGAGAAAATCGTTGCTAAAATCTGATTGGTCTCGATGAAAAGCAAGCGATTGCTTTTTATTATCAACCCAAAAATTAGTGTTGCTTAGGCGGCATACAAAAGAACTCCCATCAAAGCTCTGTGATCGGCACAAAAAACACTATGTGTTGTCGTTACGATGAAGGAAAAGATTCTTGTTGAAGACCGATTGGTCAGCAGGAAGAGGCTCCCAGTCAAGTAGATTTAAGCAAGAGCTTTTTTCCATTGTAATGTAAAACTTAGTTTGCTCTCGGCTGATATACTGGTTAGTGAGGATCTTCTTTCATATGGTTAAAAGCAGACTATATTTTGTCCTTAAAATAGTGGCATAAAAGCTTTTGGAAGAGCTTTCTTTTCCTATCGAGATTCTCAAGTTCACAAAACTCGAGAAACCATGTTGAAACTCAAATTTCTGGGCGTCGAAAGCCTTCGGTCAACTTGTAGACAATATCGTTATTATCGAAAAATACTCTATCATTTAGATGAAAAACCAACTTCAGAATGCGTTTGGAGTTATTTGTAAAAATCGGTACCTCATGTGAATGATTCAAAATGGACTGCAGTAGCTAAGATTGGCTTGAAATGTCTGAACATGTTTGAATGAGATTTTTCTCCCTTATAGCAATCCCTAGGTATTGAAATGGCGCCAAGGGAGCCATCAAAAAGACTTATGTGCAACGTTCAGATCTGACTTATAAAGTTACAAGTGTAATGTTTAGAGAGTCCTGAAAAAGTTAAGTTGAAGATCACCGAATAGCTCTGAAAAAGTTACCCTTGATCGGTTCTAATAGTTCTTACAGAGCTACCAGCTGTATTTCTGAATAGCCTTTTAGAGTTATGCATGTACTAATTGAAAATTAACATTCATTAAAAAATTACATACTCTCTTACCATCGTAATTCATAAAATATGAACTGAGTATTATTGGTAAAATGTGAATACGTCACTGAAATCCTAATTCAGAGTTTACGCACTTTGAACTTCACTTCCTTTTGAACTTGAAAAGTTCGTTCGACTTAACGAATTCTACACTATCGCCAGTAGGTTTCAATCTGAGTGGTCGGTTCTCATGCAAATGCGGATGAGAGCAATGAATCTTCACGCTCGAAGGGCCTCTAAAAACTGTGCTCATATTTGGTATAGATGATGAGCTCTCATGCAAGAAGTGGGTTGATAGAATGGATTTAAATGATGAATGTGGGTGATAGTTTATGATACTGGACGTGAGTCCGAGTCTTTGGCCGTCATGTTGGATCTGGGAGATGAAACTCCAACCAAGGATCGTGTCTTTAAAGTGGGCCCTCATGCTTAGTGAGCATGTGGGTGTGAGTCCATCATGCCGATGTACTAGTAGACTAAAAGCTGATGGACCCTTTTTGTATGTGATTCTATGAGATATTTTTTTCAGCATCGAAAAGCGGATACTTAGAATTTTGTCCATTCTGAAAACAAGGGGCGCATATATAATACCAGCTTTTGAATGTAACTTGTAGAGCTTTTCATGCTGCATCTTACGGTTTATTTTAATTTTCATTGTGATCAGACATATTTAGTCATCAAAATATGAAATACAAGGTACAACCAGTCATTTTTGACTGCACGGTAGCGGTGAAGCATGAATCTTCATGCTGGATAGTGGGATGAGTGATCATTCTTAGTGTTGGCTGTAGATTCGCCATTCGCAGGAGTCGGGGTGGGAGATCGCAATGAAGTTATAAGCAAGCGAAGAGCCATAGACTCTAATACAAGCAACAGTCAATTGCTACTACGACTGCCAGTAAAGGGATAGCGTCGAGAGATTACCACGGCATAGTTTTTAAAGGATTTGTTTTTCTACAGTACTTTTTTATTCAAGATTTACTGTGCCGATAGGCACACCATTCGTACATTATATGACTCTTACATGACATCGTTGTTACATGGCATATTTATCTGGAGAAACTTCTACTATTATTTGTGTATGTATCTTCTTGTTCTTCATCTTTATTATATCAGCGTTCTCTCCTTTCTTTTTCTCTTTTGTTCCCCTATATAATGTAATGCTCTATGTGATTTTGAAGACAACTGGATGATGAACTCGAAAAGTGAATACCGTATATCGAGGATAGCGATAACACTACTCCTTCAGTTCGTCATCGTGATCACAATAAAAGAAATGCAGCAGCAATAACCAAATAGCCTATTCATTTATTCTTCGTCACATTTACTACTTCCAATCTTATTAGAACACAACCACATCCACACTTTCATTCTTACCCATAATAGGAATGCATCAGTTCCAGTTAACTGGGACCCCGTTGGCTGGAATTGCAGTATTTACAAACCAAACCCACATGCACATCCTTACAGTCATCAATACTCACACATCTTATACGTCGAGGAAGCATGTGGGTATTATCCCAAAATGCTAGCTGACCCATTAAAAGGCTTCAATAGTCCGCGAAGAAAATGCCTGATAGCAGTTATAGAAAAGACCTAAGAAAGATCTTAACTGTAGGCAAGAGAATGGATATCAGAATAGAATTCTCTTTGAATAAGTGAATAACAGATTACTGTGTGATTTCGTATCTGATCTAAGGTCGAAGTGAATATGTCTTGGGTGAAACGATAGACCTTACTGAGTTCTAATGGAACAGAAAATTCCGAATTTGAAATGGCCCAACAAGGGTATTAGATGAAGTTTTGTAAGTGTTGACTACAAATATATGTTAAAAACAGTGCTTTTTAATAATATTTTAGAGAATTTAGTGAGACTTTTAATTGGTATCAAAGTACGACATATTCGATTTTTTGCAGTACGAAACTGACAGTTAGTCGTCGTGTATTAGTAGAAATCTCCTCAATTTACGCAGTTTTATTTCTAAGTTATGGCTCAAGACGATTTCATTTAACTCTAGAATTTCTATTTTCATTAATAACTATGGTGCTCGACAGCGTCCCAACTTGTTTTAGACTAGATGACTTTCAGGAAATATTGAACAATTATCAATAAAGAAAAAGATATTGTGTACCTTAAAATATTAATCACAATCAATATTAGCTACCTTAACAGTCGGTATTGCCTACAAAATTGAAAACTAAAAAATGACTGACTGCATTTGTTTACAACATCAAAAATTCCTTCGCTGCTTTGTTCTGTTTTTTTGTCGTGGTTCGCAAAAGAATCTTACCTCACTTGAAACTTTTGTTTATTCTTACATCAGCAAACAGTCGGAAGTAGAAGAAAACAGAACTAACTGAAAAAAGTCAGTTGCTTGGCACATGTGAAGAGCGAGAGCACATAAGAGACAAACATTTCACTTGAGTCAATATTTTTCGCTGTCTCATTCACTGCAAGATTGAATGTTCTTCGAATTTGCCTTCGAACAGCAACCCCAGAACTTAATCTGACACAATAAAATAAATATGCAAAAATACGTCGAACGTCGTTTGTAGAAGCGATTGTTGGTTGTGTTTTTACAATTCCGATGTTCTTGGAGTTATTTTCATTAAACTTTCGAGTCTATGTCAGCGATTATATCTGAGAACTGAATTTCTATAATAAAGGCATTAAATTTTTCTCAATTCTTAATTAAGCGGCGTGCATTATTGCAGAGAAACATCCATATCATTGTCTCTGATACCGCCATCCCACATCCACAGCCACTGCTACTCGATATGTGTGGATATGGATGCGGGTGTTGTCGATAAGACTTGTTCAACATCCACACCCACACCCACATATTTTATTCTTTTACTATGTCAGCCGATCTTGGTGGAAAATGTCGAAAAGGAAAACGTCGAAGAGGAAAATATCGAAAGCTTAAACAACTTGAAAGAATGATAGAAATGATTATATTTATGTTCTTGTTATGCATAAGAAGCGCTATGTTTTATTAATGTAGAATAAAAAATAGACAATGCTGACAGTATAATAAAATTTTATTTTTTTTTGTTTCCAATTAACAATGATAAACCTGATAATAATTCATTTGCGTTGATTTCCTTCTTTAGAAATCGATCATGAAGAGTATCAAGTCTCATTTGAAATGCTTTCGTTTTTTTCGATTGTTGTGGAGCTGATGCACCAGCATCAAGTTGTGCTGAAACATGTTCAAAACGAACATGTTCACTTTGAATTAATTGTATAAAATATTTGTTTCTCATAATTTCCTTTCATTTCGTATTTTAACGTTTACATTTTCGACATTTCCCTTTTCGGCTTTTTCCTTCTAAAAAATTTTCTTCTCGACATTTTCCACTAACCCCTTTCAGTCTATCTTTTTCCACGTTAACACTCAAAACTGATTCTAAAATCCAATTGACTCGAATCCAAAAATATTAGCTATTTGACATTTCATAGAGAAGATCAGTTTGGATACTAAACTGATTTTTATTCTGGCAAGATTCTTATTGTATTCGACGGATAACGAACTACAAAGAACTATGGCAATTTTCTAATGAATCGTCGGCAATGAGAACTTTGCCTAAAAAAATGTCGATATTTCTGCCAAAATAAAAGTCCTATGTTCGATAGAAATGCTAAGATTTCAGTGAAGACAAATTTTTTTCAGTTGAAATGCGAAATTTAAAAAATCAGCGTCTACTTCATTAATATTGTTACTCAACGAGCAAGATAAAAATCTTGGCTACAACTCGACAGGAAACATGTAGGTATATTTCCAAAATGGCCAACACTATTCTGCAAAGTTCGGAAAGAAAAACTTCACATTCGATTCAATATACTTTTTAGAACGCTTTTCGGGTGTCATATGTGGAGATTATGGGTTGAATACATCCAAAAAAAAACAGTGTAGAAAGAAGTTTGAATCTCTTGTAAATTATTAATATTTTTCGATAAATCAGATCATTCAAGCTTTCCATTTTTTTGTCAGAGAAAATATTTTGAATAGTTGATGCAGTCGTTTAAAAATTGTTTCATTTAGTTGAAAACGAGATCGTATTCATTTTTAGAACTTTCTGTACCCTGATTGACAAAAATAATACTAACATTAACGCCTACAGACGAAGATAGCAAGTGAAAAACTCTGAGTCAATACAATAATCTATGGCATATAGTTATCAGGGCCAAGTTAATTTTCTGTATAACCTTGGAATAGATCGATATTATTGGGAACATCAAAATAGGCTACTTCTCCCTGTTCTAACACAAGAATACGATTACTATTGGCTATTGTATTCAATCGATGTGCAATCGTCAATATGGTACGATCACGAAACTTGTCAGCAATAACTTCTTGAATCATCCTGTCAGTCGTATGGTCAACATTTGCTGTAGCCTCATCAATAATCAATATGTGGCTCCTCTTCAGAATAGCTCGAGCTACGCAAACCAGTTGGCGTTCGCCAGCACTCAAATTAGTGCCAGATTCAGTTACCAACAGATGGAGTCCATCTGGATGGTTGCGCACCAATTGTTTGAGTTGAACAGCTTCAAGTGCTGCAAGACATTCCTCATCTAAGAATTGTTCGAATGGGTCAATATTGTATCGCAGTGTACCACAAAATAGTATCGGGACTTGTGGAATAACACTTAGATGAGAACGAAGATGATCGAGTGAAAGACATCCAATATCGATGCCGTCGATGAGAATGGTTCCGTTGATTGCTGACTGATCCACAAGCCGAAAGAGAGCTTGAAGAAGTGATGACTTTCCAGCACCTAGACGAAAAAACAGATCATGATAAACGAATTTTGCCAAGAAGATAATCACAGATTGAAGTACACTGCACATCGTAAATACATGCAGTCATATATTCTTCATAGAATGCTGAAATTTTATTTCACGCCAGTTGCTGAAAAAGATCTCCTTGATAAGAACAGGGCGCGATAACTGATGAAATGCTTCGTTCGAAAAATACAGTTCCTTATCAAAGGCTACATTTCTTATTACTCGAAAGCACTTTAGTCCTACAAAATGATATAAAAAACGAGTAAAAAACACTAGGTTAGGGTTGTTGGTAAATATTACATAGTCTAACCTCGAGTTATGCATACTAAGAACTGGGTACTACCAATTTCTGTACTCTTGGGAAAATAGGGAGTACATGACTCGTCCACTATGTGAATCAACCACAATTCGAAAGGAAGGACCTCGTGGGATGAACCTTGTTAAAATTTTTATAGTATTAATTGAACGCACAGAATAACCCGTCTTTTCTTTTCAAAAGTAATAGTGCACTGCTTAGAAATATCTTCTTGTAAGAAGAATTCTTAGAAGACTGTGACAAATTTTTTAGACTAAATAATTCCCACATGAAAATTCGTCACATCCTTGAATCCTCACCAAGGTTATGTTGTAGCGGGTGTTGTTCTATATTGATATGCAGGTTCCGAAACGATGACCGTTCACAGTGCTACAATTCATGAATCTTTTTATATTTATCTCTGTGAATCTGTCTATCTTATCTTGACTCCACGCTCCTTTGCATCAAAGAATAATTTCACAACTTTTAGGTATACATTTCAAAATATCATTAGTGGCTGAGCAAGCCACTGGAAATCAGAACGGATTATACCTAATGCGCTTGATACGTCATAAATATTTCGGAAATCGCCCACTATGCTCGCATTCGATCACATATCTTTCATAGGTATAGCCACATGTTGAAAACAGAAAAGCAGGCCTCAAGAAGTTCGATATAAATAGAGAAATGTAAACATAACAGAATTAACTTTAACCATGGGTTTTCGATAATAGGAGGAAGCATCAGTAGCAGTATCTTTCTTTTGTCTGTAAGTATCTAATTCCGAAAGATTTTCTGTCTCCTTATTAGGAATGCTCTGTACATATATTCCCCAAAGTGAAGTAATCATACCTGTTCGACCAATAACTCCAATCTTTTCCTTGGATTCAATTCGTAGATTAAGATTTTTCAGTACAGGATCGAGCTCTGGTCGATAGCGAAAAGTGTAGTCTTTAAATTCAATAATACCACGAGAAGGCCAATCATCTACTGTTTGAATGTGTACACTGTTTTCATTACTATTCCGATCACTTTCTGGCA